GGGGCCCCACACGGGCGCCCCCCAGTTCCCTGCCTCCCCTGAAACGTTCCTCCCCGCCCAGTGCTCCGTGTCATCGAGCTCTAGCCCTTCAGCCTTGACCTGCCTCTCCCCCCAATGACAAGCAGCTTCTCTAGCAGCAGCCGGCAAGGGCACAGGCCCAGGTTCTCATCGCAGCACCCCACGGGCTCACCCGGCAGCCTGGCCTGGGGACCGCAGGGCGAGGGGACGGGGCCGTGGCCACACCCACCGCTAGGACTCCGGAGCCCCCACTGCCTCGGGGGTGCTTGCAGGCCCTGCGGGCCCCCAGCCCTCCCGCAGCCGCTGGGCTCCAGGGGGGACGCCTCAGACCCACCCGCCTGCGTCCTCCAGTTCAGCAGGCTGCGCCCCTGAGAACGGCGCCCCCCCCCCACCATTTAAAGAAGAGTAGCTGCTTTTCCGATCTCTCACTCTCCCGTTCAGGGATTTAAAATAAAGAAAACCGGGCCGAGACGCCCCTCACAGCCACACTCTGTCACCCACGGTGTCCCCCAGTGTGCCGCGGAACCAGCCACAAACAGCAGACTGCGGCTGCTCCGTGCGGGGACACGGGCTCCCTCCCTCTCATGTGTCTTTACCTTCTGTTTTTCAGAGTGGATCTCTGGACCCTGGCCCGGCCTGTGACGCCCCCAAAAGCTCAGGAAGGGACATGCAAGGTGGCCCCCAGCTTCCCAGCAAGCCCGTGCCGCAGACCCTCACCCAGCGACAGCACCAGGCCCGGGCACAGGGGACGCTGCCGGGAGGGAGGGGTGTTGGCGAGCACCCCAAAGCCTCCCCGGACGGCTACAGATGACGCGATGATGCTCCGCGGACAGGTGCGCACTGCTCTGGTCCCCGCTGGGGTCACAAACGTTTGGCTCATTAGTGGGCTGGCCACAACGGCTGTAAATGGTGTCGCCACCACCTGGGCAGGGGCAGAACCTCGTTTCCATATTCTCAGGCCTGCTCCTGCCCTCCCTGGGCAGACACAGTCACCGTGACGGCAGAGGAAAACCTGTGCCCGGCTCAGACCCTCCCACCTCCCGCGGCCCTGTCCTGCAGGTGCCACTCGGGGTGGGGATCGGGTCCGGGGAGGGGTCTGTCCCTTCAGATGCCAACATTCCTGAGACCACAGGGGCGTCTCCTCCCGAATGCCAGGGTGTCCCCGACAGCCCCCGCCTGTCCCAAGGGGGCTCCTAGTCTGGCAGGCGCAGGCCGTCCTCCCGGCCACGCCGGTCTGCTGCTCTGCCCGTCGGCACACAAGGTCTTTTGGGAACCAAACACGTGTCCAGGGAAGGCGGGGGCTCAGAGACCTGGGACCTGCAAACCTACTCAGTCATTCTGGCTAGAGGCTGAGTGTGGACTCCTTGACCTCTGCGAGGTCAGCAAAGATACACAACATGTTGGCCCTAAGGCACCCCATTTTCTTTGAACAGTAAATGGCCAGGAGCCCTAGCTCCCCTGGGCTTACAGAGAGACCTGCCCTTTCCCAGGGGGACCCCGAGGTGTTGTGAAGAAGGACAGGGAGCCAGGCACGGGGCCGGGGGGACAGGGCAGTCTGGGGAGCACGGTCCCACTGCTCCACCCCAACCCACGGCCTGGGCAAGCCCAGCAGCTGGACCAGGCAGAGGACCGCTCGGCCCTGGAGGTGAGACCCAGTTGGATGGCGAGCCCGGGAGTGGTTGGGGGTTGGACACGAACAGGGGACACGGCAAGCTGCCTCAGTGTACCAGCATTTCCTGGCCTCCCCTGAGGTGGCCCCACAGCCTGAGCCCAGAGGTCCCTGAGAACCAGGCCCCCCGGGACTTGCCAGCTGGACAGAGGCACAGCCGAGCCACAGCGAGAGGCAGGCTGGGGCAGGGGGTCCACAGCCCGGGGAGGAGAGGGCCCGGCCCCGGCTCTCCCTCCAACCAGCTGACAGAGCACAGCAGGGAGTTCGAGGCCTCCCGCCAGCTCGGGAAGGTCACAGGACGCCAAGCAGGACTCCCTGAAGACGCGGCGCCTGACCTCCGACTGGCACAGATGCAGCGGAGCCCAAATCACTCAGAGTTCCCAGCAGGATCTCTGGGCCTGGCCTGCTCCCCACCGTCAGCTGGGGCTTGCGAGAAGGGGACCAAGGACAGTTCACCTCCTCACACGGGGCCCCCTTCCCCACGAACTCGGAACATGCTCAAGGCAGGCCCTGCCCCTTCTCAAGGGAGCCGGGCCCACGCGGCAAATTCCTCCCGGGAGCCGATATCCGCCAGAGATGCAAACATCCGAGGATGGAAACAGAGAGCCCCGGCAAGCAGCAGCTCCCGCGCAGGCCAGCGGCCTCCCATCGCTCGGTGAAGACGCGTGTCCCTCTCCCAAGGGCCTCTGAGTGGGAAGCGCCACCCTCAGTGTGACTGCCACACTGGTCAGGAGAGCTGACAGACGCCCAGAGCTCTCCGGCTCGAGACACAGCTGCCCAGCCCAGCCCTGGGCCCGCCAGACAGCCGTGCAGCCCTCTGTCCTGACCCAAGCCCTGTGGCCACGTGGAGCCTGTGACAGGCTGGGGGGGCGGGGGACAGACGTACCATCCCCTACAACAGAGCCATGATTAGAGCCGTTTGCAGGCAGAAGACCTGGCCCCTTCTCACAACTTCTCCCTGACAGGACACAACTTCTCACGCCATGGCCAAGGGTGAGCTCCCAGCCTGTGGAGGCCCAGCTCTGCAGGCAGAGCTGGGCCCAAAGACTCTCCCCTCATCGCCACTATTAATAACAATGACAACAGGCCCATGTGGGAGCTGTCCCCGTTGACAGCTGGGGAGACGGGCTTGCAGAAGTTACCCTGTGGCTCGTCCAAGATCACAGCTCTGGGAGCAGCAGGCTGGGACCCAGACGTCACCCGGGCTCTTTACAAAGACCCTGTTCGTGACTGGGAGCGCCGAGGGTTCGCCGCCTTACGCATCCTGGGTCCATGCGGCCTGACCCGGGAGGCACCCTGAAAATGCGCGTCCCAGATTGACTCAGTGTACAGAGGGGCAGATGGGAAGGCTGGGGAGCAAGGCAGTAGGTTCCCGTGAGCCCTGCTGGTCACAACCCACACTGTCTCAGGGCACACAGCTAGGGCAAGCAGTCCCAGCCCCGCACACGGCCGTGAGGGTCAGCAGCTTAGAACTGGGTGAGGCCCAGCCCCGTGGGCCCGCCTCCCCCTTCCTTCACACCAGAGTCTGGTTTCCCCGGCTCTGGGTAAGGCCCTTTCCCGGGGTACTCGTTCAGGGAGGCGCCCGCTCCAGACTCTCCCCTGCCGGCAGCAACACCCCCCCCCATGGCAAGAAGACCAACGTGACCCCCACCGAGAGCCATTTCCTTAAGAGCTCTGAGCACCGGGGTTGGGGGGGTTGCTGGGAGGCTGGTTTTGCCCCTTGCCCTCACCCCCTTGCCCTTGGGCCTTCGTCAGTCTCCCTCGGGGAGGGCTCCCGGCCCCCACAGGGGGCTGGGGGTAGGCAGGGCTGTGCCGAGGACGGCAGCCCCTCCCCGCCCCCTCCCAAGCACCCTCAGGAGAGGCAGCCCCGAGAGAGAGCAGCAGGCTCAGAGGCTCGCTCCGGGATGACTAAGTGAGCTGCTATTCCCGGGGAAACCCCACTCACTCCTGCTCTCCGAGGGGCTCCGACCCTTGCACTATTCGGATGCAGGCAGCTTCCAGGGGCCGCCCTCCACTGGGGCAGCCCCCCGCCGCAGCGTGCCCCTGGGGGACCTCCGCGTGCGAGGACGTCTTGGTGCTGGCTACTCAGGTGGCCTGCAGGTCTGCCCGTGCCTGCGGGAGAGAGAGGCTGGGAAGGAGGGAAATCCGATCGGCACCTCCCAGGCTCTGCGGCCGGGCTTCGACAAGGAATGTGGCAATCCCGCAGCAGCTGTGCCCAGCCTGAAACGAGCTCTGTTTGAAACCTCCGACAGCTGAACCCCTCCCAGCCTCCCCCTGCCCAAATGACCAATAAGAGAAATCCAAGGGACAAGCAAGCACGCACACACGCCCTCCCCCACGACAGATTGAGGGTGAGGGGGAGAGCAGGAAGAAATCCACTTGCCCGCTGAGTGCCCGGCGCCCCAAGCCCTCCGGCCTGCCGGCACACCAGGGCCCCCAGCAGGCAGAGCCCTGGCGGAAACCCACCTGCCTCCATCCCCCACGCCCCTGGAGGCCGTGATTTCTGAGCCGCCCACCTCGGCCGGGTGTGCACACACTCCGCCTTACTGATCCCGGGGCGCGGGGAAGCCCTGTCAGCCCATCTGAAGGAGAGGGGCTCCCCAGGGCCAAGGCCAAGGCGGCGCCCACCTGCTCTGCCGGGGACACCTGTAGCCGGTCTGCCGGCTGTTTACAGGCAACGGCCTCTGCTGAGGGCTCTTTCCTGAGGGAAAGGACTGTGGGGGGTCCTTCTGCCTGTTTTCACCCCTGTCCCCAAGGGAGCTGGGTCACCGGTGCTCTGCCATCTAGCCCGAAGTCTGTCAGGGACAAGGGGGAAAACAGAAACTTGGGAAGAGAGGGAGAAGCCAGAAGGAGAAGGGAGAGGATAGAGTCCCCACCCCCCACCCAGACATTTATTTCTCTTCTATCCTCGGGAAAATGGAGTGGAGCAGGGCGGGGAGCAGAGGAGGGAAGTCGCAGGAACTGGCAGGCACATCAAGGCAGAGGGTAATTAATTGGTGCGTTAAGCCGCTGGGCTCTGCTCTGGTACGAGTGAACCGGGAGGAAAACGACGTCTCAGAAGGGAATCTTTCCTCCTCCCTAACACAGTCTGCAGCAGACAGTGTACCGGGTGCCCCCCCCCCAAGAAAGCGAGGAATGAATTCTCCCGGGATTCGGAAGGAAAACCATGGGAAGTTCGAGTGTTCCATATAATTGAGCAAACGCCTCTCCCACCACCGCCTCTCCCCTCCATCAATCTCTCTCTCTCCTCTCTCTCTGTTGCTACCTACATATCCCTTTTGTTCAAGGTATAAAGAGAAATCGCAGCCCCTACCTTTGAGTACAAACCCCAAGAGAGCTCGGTCTCTATCACCATAACAACAATTCCAAACATCCCAAAAATCAGAGCATAGTCACTGAGCCGCTTCCTCTTTTCAAACAGGGCCCTCCTGTGTCCCAGCTTATAGCCAATGTTCTGGGTTTTCCGCTTGTTGGCTTTGGGGAAGGTGGCGCTGCTGGGGGTGGTGCCGGTGTGCTGGTGGTTGTGGGTGGCGTTGGGGTGGTGGAGCAGGGTCTGGTGGGCATGGTTGTCCTCCCGGGAGGAGATGATGATCTCGGGGGGGTTGCTGGGGCTGAAGAGCTGGAGGGGCTGGCCTTCAGGCTCGGCCTCGATGAGGTTCCTCCGGGAGGCGCTGAGCCGGCTGAGGGGCTTCATGACCCCACCACTGTACTTGCAGGAGCTCATGGCGATCTCCGTGAAGGGGTTGCTGTCCCGCCGGTGCACCAGGGGGCTGGCCTGCCGGTGCCGGCCACCTCCAGCAGGCCCACTTGTGGCTGTGGAGCTTGGAGAGTGGCCAAGCAAGTGGTCATTGAGATTGAGCTGGCTGCCCTGCCTGGAGGAAGGGTGGAGGACGGCGGTGGAGTTGGCCGAAGGGGGGCCCCTGAGCGTCGTGGGAGAGGAGTGCAGCAGGCCGGGCTGGACGGGCTGGCTCTGGAGTTGGGCGAGCAGAGACAAGGGATGTGGTGGTGGTGGCAGCGGCTGCTGGAGCTGAGCGGGCAGAGGCGGCGCCAGGGGTCCCGGGGGCTGCTGGGGGGCTGCTGCCGGCTGCGGCGGCTGCTGCTCATCCCCGGACGATGGACAGGGACACTTGGGGTCTTCATCCAGGTCCCCCACCCCCGAGTCATGGAAGTGCCCAGAAGTGTCCATCTTGGGGCCTGGCTGGATTCCCTGCAGCACAAGCCCCCACCCTAAAGCCACCCTCGCTCCGAAGACGGCCTCAGAGAAAGCCAGGCATCCAAGCCCCCACCGGGTGTCTTGGCCCCAGTCTTCTTTCTTTGGCTTCGGTCCTCTGGGGCTGCCTGGGGTCCAGACGCCGCCACTCAAGGATGCATTGCACTGGGCAGGAGGGGCCTGGAGCGGGAAGCAGCGGAGAAGGAACTCCGGCTCCGGAGGTGGCCCTCGGGGAGCGCGCAGGGCCAGGCTCAGCCTCACTCCTCGCGGGCTCAACAGCTTTGCTCGCCTCCTGCGGCCGGCGCTGCTCAGCAAGCCAAGCCCACTTAGTGGCCGCGGCGCTCATTGGCTCGACTCGCGTCCCCCCCGCCCGCCTCCTAGCTCCGCCCCCGCGCGGGCCCCTCCCCAGAGGCGGGGCCTGCCGCGCGCGGCCCCCTTGCCGGGCCGCGCGGCGAGGGCTGGGAGCTGTAGTTTCCGCCGCCGCCCGCGCCCCGGGCCGGCCCTTCTTCCTGCGACAGGTGCGGCCGGAGCCCGGCGGGCCGCGGCGACAGGGACGTGCGCGCCCGCGGGGCGCTGGGAGGCGGCGCGGGGCCTCGCGACTGGGGGAACCGCGCGCCCTGAGCGGGGGCGGCCGGCGGGAAGGCGCGCGGCGGGCGCGGCGGGCGCGGCAGGTGGACCCCGAGCTCCCGGGGCTGGGCCTCGCGCTCCCAGCGCGCACCCGGGGCGCGGACGCGCGGACCGGCTACTCCCGGGTCGGCTCCCGGCCGCAGGGGCGGGCGCTCGCCTTCGGGATGCCGCAGTGAGTGTGCAGGGCGCCCCTTTGTCGTTCCCAGCCGTCGCGTCCACCCTGCGCGAGTGATGTCATCCTCCTTCCACGGGCGAGAGCCGAAGGGAGAGTCCCGCGAGCACGGAGAGGTCGCCAGGCAGACGTGCCCCGCTGGGAACTGGGGGTGCTGGGGTTCGAACCCGGGCGGGCGTGACGCACCGCTCGGTTCCCTCTCCCAGGCCTTCCCGCCACGACGCGCCGCTCCGGGAGCGCGGCTCCGGTGAGGCGATGCTGCGGGAGCACCAAGAGCGGCGCTGCACGAAGAACCGGCCTCGCGAAGCAGGCCCGGCGGAGGGGCCGGCCCCTGGGGCCTGGGGTCAGCAGAGGGTCAGGCCCGAAGTACCCCCCACCTGCCCCCCCGCGGGGCTCTGAGAGTCAGAGCTGGGGACAGCGGCTGGCTTCCCGGGCTCAGAGCCATCACCGAGTATTTATTAAGCGCCCGCTGTGTGCAAAGGGAGTTCCGAAGACATGGGACCAGGTGAACGCATTTCCCCTTCTAACCGCGGCAGACTCAGGGATCAGCCAGGAAGGGGTCATTATGGGATTCCCCAGGCACACCTGAGGTTTTAGGAGGGGGAATGACTCCTCCGTCCAGCGGCTTCCCTGACTGGGAAGAGGAAAGAGTAGGAGAGTCGCCCACACACACAGAGGCACACATGTCTGTAGGTACACACGCACCTGCACACACCCGCACACGCGCGCACACACACAGCGGGTCACTAGAGCCGCTCCCTGGAACACCGAGCAGCAAGTGGGCGGAGCTCCCACAAATAGGCCCAGAGGACTCCATCATGCCGGGCTCACCTCTCCAGGCCCCTATTGGCCTCGATGACTAAGAACTAAGTATTATCTGTACTCGGTCACAGCCCCAGAAGTCTGGATAGTCACAATCACACACAATGACCCTGATTGCTGTTATCATTGCCAGCGAGGCGTTCCTCCCCTGTGCCCCCCAGTGCCCCTCCAGTCATCAAGCCAGGGTCAGACAGGCGCTTGCTGCCTCCCCTGTCTTCCCAGCGCGGTGCAGGCCCTCCAGAGCCCACCCGCCCTCCAGTATGCTCTGCCCTCCCCCCATGCCCAAACCAAGCACCTGTTCAGTTCAAGGCTCCAAATCACACACTTAGGCTTAATGATTTCCTAATAAATTACCATTACTATGTTGTTAGTAACAGAACATGCTGTTAGTATTGGTTCTCAGTCCCAGATACAGCATCTGGGCTGTGAAAAAAATCAATTTTCAGAGACAGACTCCAGGTCTGGGCACTTCTGAGCCCACTCCACCACCGTGACCAGCCTCCTGCCTCAGCTGACCTTTCTGGGCCAGCCTCCTGCCTCTGGCTCTACTGGATGTGCCTCTTGGATCCAAACAGGGACTGTGAGAGTGTGTCCTGCTGTCAGGGGGTGGGGGACAGCTGGGGGAGGGGGGCAGGCCAAACGGTCAGAGCCAAAGATGGACGGCAGACTCATCGGGAATTGGGCTGGAGTTCGACACTGAGACACGGAAGCCGTCCACGCAGCCGCCCTGTTGGACTGGGGAGAGCAGAGCCTGAGGGCCTGGGCTGGAGTCCTCGCTGCCACATCATGGCCACGGGATCACAGGCAGGCTGACGCCCTCCTAATCTTTGGCGTCCTGCTCGATGAAATGAGAGTCCCTGTCACGGGGTGTGGAGGATTCAATGCAGGTGGGCATGAGCGGGCCATGCCACCAGACTGCACCGGGGGCTGCTCAGCCCCGGGGACTAACCACATCAGGTCTTCCGTCCTGGCCAGCTCTTCTCTGCTGTCCACCGCTGCCTGTCCAAACCCTCCTGGTCAGGAAGCCCCAGCCCCTCCCCTAGCTCCCAGCCATAACCATGTCTTCAGAACCCAAGAGGTGGAGCCATCAACCACTTTACAGATGAGGATAGCGAGGCATTAATTAGGCAGGTTTTAAAACTTGCCTACAGTTACTAACTAGAACTCATGGCGGAGCCGGGCTCAAATTCAGGTCTGTCCAACCCAAAGATCCAGCACTTTCCATCCGTCCTGAAATCCTTATCAGTAGTATTCAGTCTTACTGATATTTATGAAACTAAGCTGTACCATACAACTCACGTAGTCAGCCCTCGGGGGCTTGTGGGCTCACGTCGGAGGCGAGCTACCCTCCCACGGGATGGTAACCACAACGGAGATCCCCAAGTGTGGTCCAGACAGCAGAGTTCCCTGAAGGCAGGAGGGCATCAGCAGCGGTTTCGTGGAGGTGGTGGGTCTTGAACCACACCTTGAGCGATGGGCTCTTCCTTCAAACACTTGAGGCCGCTTTGGTCTCCAGGACCCCCTCAAGAGATGTCCTGGGCTCTGTCCCAGACCACTGCAGTAAGTGAGCTTTGCAAAAAAGCAAGTCAAAGAGAACTTTTGGACCCCCAGTGCACATAAAAGTTATGTCTACACGATATGTAGTCTCTTAAGTGGTCAAACGCATGATGTCTGAAAAACCAAGATATTTACCTCAAACAGAACGTACTCCATTGCAGGGCATCTGGCTGACTCAGGCGGGAGAGCATGAAACTCTCGATCTTAAGGCTGTACGTTCAAGCCCCACCTTGGGGGTAGAGGTTACTTAAAATCTTCCCCCAAAATAGTTTATTGCTAAAAAGTGCTAACCATCACCCGAGCCTTCGGCAAGTCATAGTCACTGATCACAGGTCATCATAACAAATAGAATAATGAGAAAGTTTGAAATATTGCAAAAATGGCCAACACATGACACAGAGACACAGAGGGAGCAAATACTGTTGGAAAAACAGCACCAATAGACTTGCTCGATGCAGGCTTGCCACAAACCTTCCATTTATTAAAGAAAAAAAAAAGCAGTATCTGTAAGGCACAATAGAGCAGAGCGGGATAAATGGTGTGTGTCCGTATAAAGACGCAGGCAAGCGGGCACAGTGGGGCTTCCCAGCTCAGGGAGCTCGGGGGACGGGAGTGAGGCTGCTCCTCAAGCCCAGTGAGGAAGAGACGGGAGGTGGCCTCCAGCTGCCACTTGTCCCCTCTGTCCCCTCCACTTCACCCCTGCCCACCTCCCTCTTCACCCCCGAACAACACCACCTTCTTCCAGCTCCACCAGCAAGCTCTGTTCCCTTCTGCCTGGCATGCCCTTCCCTACGCCCTCATCTGAAACATCGTTTTTGCCCTTCAAGAGATGACTCACAGGGCCTCCTTCTAGGAGGGCTCCCTGAGCTCCTCGAATCCAGACCAGAGGCCCTGCATCCACATCTTCGCACCCTGTTCTCACCTGTGTCCCTGTCTTTACCAAGCGGCCCAGCTGTTCCCTCCTTGTGTGTCCTCGACTGTGACCTTCTTGAGGACAGGCATGAGGTCTTCTCCGGAACTGGACCAGCAGCTCTTGCCCATAATAGATGCTTAATAAAGATTAACTGAGCTAAACTGAGATCGACACCCAGGAGAGGTCATGTGGAGGCAAAGAAAAGGAAGTTGTAGTACTTCCCACAACAAATAATGGCCATAGTTTCCTCATCAGTAAAATGAATGAAATAGAAGAGATCATACCTGTGATCACTAACCTTAAAATCCCAGAGTCTATGATCTGTGGAAATTGTTACTCCAATTAAAAAAAATTAATTAGTAGAACTGGCCAAAAATAGGCTTAAGAAAGATAACAATTTGTGGTTTATACGGCTGTCTTTCCCAGTAGACTGTGAACTCTGAGCACAGAGAAGGGGTCTAATGTTTTTTCTGTATCCCCAGAACTAAGCAAGGTGCCTGGCCATGGATGTATTCATTAAAGGTTTACTGGATGGCTAGATAGGTGAAGAGTGGATGGATGGATGGATGATCGATGGGAAGACAGATGGGAGGATGGACGGATGGGTGGGTGGGTG